CCACCTACTTTGACCCAGGCAAGTTCATTTTACCGAGAAAGATTAGAATTATTGTTACTTCAACCCCAACTCAGCTCGAAACCCTTCGGAGCAATTCTTCCTTGGTAGGAGATAGTCCTCGGCATAGCCAATCTACCAACTCAGACAATCCTAGGAGATGCCCCTCCCAACCTTAGCCTTCCGCAGACTCCTCGCCGGCCGCCCCCGCTGCCCCCCTATACCCCAACAACAACCCACACCACCACCCACCCCCGCCCCCCCATGACCTACACCCTCGACGACCTCGCCGAGTACCGCCCCCACCCTCGCGCGCGGGGCTCCGCCAACTCCTCGACTACGACGGCGACGTCGAGGAGACCTTCGGGCTGGTATTTGCCGTCGACGCCGCGCGCTACGTGCGCCGTCGACCGCGCCCCACTCTGCCCCGCGCGGCGACCGCCGCGCCGTCACCAATGCCAACCCGCCGCGAGTATGTCGATGCCTTACGTGCGCCATGCGGCTGGAGGGGTCGGTGGCGAGACAGTTTGAGCCGTTCAAGAGGGGGTTTTATACCGTTTGTGGTGGTGGTGGTGGGGGGGCGCTGTCGCTTTTTCGGCCCGAGGAAATTGAGTTGTTGGTGCGTGGCTCCGCGGGGGTGTCGGATGGCGCGCCGCTGGATGTTGCTGCGTTGCGTGCGGTCGCCGTGTATGATGGCTGGCGGCGGCCGCGGGGGGCGGGTAACACCAGCAACACGGCCACTAACACTGCCACCAGCCCCGCGGAGCAACAAGGCGACAACGACGGAGAAGCAGCCGAAGAAGAAGAAGAAGAGCCCACCATCCGCTGGTTCTGGGAAGCCTTCCAGACCGCCCCGGCACGCGACCAGCGGCGCCTACTGGCCTTCATCACGGGCAGTGACCGGCTCCCCGCGCTGGGGGCGGCGTCGCTGGCCATACGTGTGGCGTGTCTCGGCGACGAGTGTGGGCGCTTCCCCACCGCGCGCACCTGCTTCAACTCGGTCGGCTTGTGGCGGGCGACGGACCGCGAGAGGTTTGTGGAGGTGCTGTGGAGGGCGGTGGGGGAGAGTGAGGGGTTTGGGTTGAAGTAGGGGGGTGTTTATCATGGAGTTGGGTGAGGTTGAGTGGGTTGGTAATATATGTACCTATGCAAAGATGAAAGGGGATGGAATAAGGGCGGCGGTATATGGCACTGTATTGTGTATATGTGGTGGTGGGTGTCGAGAACTTGCTGTGTCTAGGTCTTGTTTGGTTTCTTGGGCAGGTGGAGGGAGGGATATCATGGTTTGGATGGATGATGGCGTAGTGGCTAAAATGTACATTTGAGAGGTCAATATCATCTGGGTTCTGAACTATCTGTGGCGCTGTGTCCTCAACCTATCTGTCTATCTATGCGGTCGAAGACAAGCCAAATATTCCAGTGATGGCAGTTGTTGATGGTGTAATTCAATTGGGGTTAGGGTTAGATGGGGGGCCATGAGTCCTCATCTACGAAGCTGGACCGGTCATTCATTTGTTTGATTGCTGACGCAGCTGATGTTGACCAGAATGTTAACGCGCTCGTGGCTGATCTCTTTTCACCTTCATTCTATAAGTAAAAGCTGCAAACATGCGGGGTTGTCCAGCCGCAATGTCGTGTAATAATCTGGTTCTCCGTGTGTCCTGTGTTTCGAGCTGAACGGTGCTGTGTTTCGTCTCGAGCGAACAAAGATCATGCGCTCCGCTGCTTGCCAAGATGGGACACAGCCTCCTTGGGAGAGGTTGTTGCCGAATCGTTGATCAGGTCGGGGGCCTCCACTTGTTTGTGCGCTCAACACGAGGTTTTGGCACTCTGCGACCCTCTCCCATTGGAGCGAAAGAAGAAGGGGAAAAGTTCAACGGCTGGGTCTTGATTGAACAGGCAATCCTTGCTATATGTATGTTGCTGCCCCGCACTTAAAATCCGCGCGAGTGGTTACTTGCAATTGATCGGACGAGCGATTGCAAAAAGTTGAAATGAGAAACTGCAGGTTCCTCCATTAAAAGTTTATCGTGTGAGGCGTCAACGAAAGGGTCATGGTGAGAGAGCAAGTTACTCAGCGCCATCAGGCCGTCCGGCGGGACTTAATACCTATTGACACTGTGTCCGGTACTGTGAAGATACGTCCACCTTACAAAACTGAGGGTACCCGATCGTCCCGAGCTTACACGGGCCCTGATTTGCCTGACTCGATATTTCATTTGTTTGAGTCCGCCAAACAAGCAAAGTCTTTGCATTTCACATGGCCACAAGCTTTGCCGTCGGATCCAGCTCTCGTCAAGCTCTCTTGGGGTCCTCCGCTTCTGTTTCTGTCCTTTCTTACTTTAACCAAGCTCCTAGGTCCCGGAGAGAATTCAACCGTTTACCTTGCCCAGAGGTTTTGCGGAGATTCAGCCCCACCTCGCCCAACAAGCCTAGCCGAATTAGCGCAGGAACAGGCCGGGCCAGTTCACCTCGTCCGAACCACTGATTTTGCAGGTTCGTCGACAACGAGAGCAAGACAAGAGTCGCGAGCTCGATTCTGTGCCGGGGAGAAATTGGGAGATCGACCGCCGAGACACCAGAGCAAATCCATGCTGTGTAGAGAAACCGGCTATCGTGCACCTCCGCCACAAGCAACGTATCTTCGGGTCGGCTTCCCATCGCGACGTGGGACAATTGGCGCGTGGTCATCGCCTGCGGGTCTGCGTACCGTTCTCGCCGCTTCGCCGGATTGGGCGTGCTGGCCGCACAGCCCCTGCAGCTGCCAGATGCATGTCCAAGCGCACCCTGGGATCTCGGCGGAAATAGAAAGCTGCGCTCAATTTCCTGCAATTTCGCACTGTCAGCTCAGCGTCCTCTTTCCCTTTCCCGCCCACCACCTTGTCTTTCACACTTTCCATTCTCTCGGGTCACCTATTTTGACGACACGAGACGGCATCGTCAAACGTCACTCCCAAGCGCCGGTCTTCCGTTTTCTCGCCGCGCGCCTGTTTTCGCTTCCAGCGCCTAGGGCTGCTAGTCCCGCGGCGCCGACGCCCGACTGCAGGCAGAGATCAGACGCCAAGTGGCCCAGTCCACGCCGAGCCGTCGCGCCCTGAGCCAATCCATTCGGTCTCGCTGCTTTGCTTCTCAAACACCCCCTTTCTGCGCCAGATCCAAATCTCGCTGTCGCTTGAGCACTTGCGCCCGTGCTATCCAGTTTTGCGACCATCGTTGGCCTCGCCGTTGCTTTGAAGGTTAGTAGTTTGACACAGCTTGTCTCTCTTTGAAGCAGCTCACAGCTGCACTCATCCTCTTAGCGCTGCAGCGCGAAGTAGGTTGATTCGCATCACCGTTATAGGTGCAATGAATGAAATGACCTTTTCCCTCCTGCACTCCTTCCTCTAACGTATTGTAACGCATTCGATTATGCCATGCCGCGCAATTCACCACTAACATGCCAATTCCGTACAGAAACTTTCCACGGCTTAGCCGCCAAATATTTGTCATGTCGAACGACACAAGCGCGGGCGACGACGTGCCGTCGTCGACGCCGTCGGTGCCAGATCCGCCTGAGTCTACATCTGAGCCTCCACCACCCCCAACATCAACCTCGGAGGAACCCCCTCCGCCATCCTCGACATCATCTTCGGAGGATCCGTCGCCACCGTCAACAACCAACTCACCTCCCCCTCCTCAATCTACTAGTTCAGAGGACCCTCCGCCCACATCCAGAACTTCGAGACCACCACCACAAAGCTCCTCAACCCCTGATGATAATGACCCGCCACCAACGAGCACAATATATACAACGGTTACCGAGTCCTCCAATCCCACGGGCCAGCCCACCGGCGACCCATCGACCTCAGCCACGTCAACAACGGGTTCCACCATCGATCCCACTGATGAGCCAAGTGGGGGGCTGAACGGCAGTGCGAGGACCGCCGTTGCCGTAGTTGTTCCCATCGCGGCTGTTGCTATTCTGCTCCTGTTGGGTATTTTCTTGTGGCGTAGGAGGAAGCAGCGCAAGGACGCCGAGGAGCAGAGACGCAAGGAGGTCGAGGACTACGGCTACAACCCCAATGCCGACCCTACGATCCCCGCTGTTGCGGGCACTGCTTACGAAATGAGGGAGGATAGTCCGACGGGCTACCGGGGCTGGGGCTCCACCACGCTTGCTGGCTCGAACACAAGGAAAGCATCGACGACCATGTCAGGCGGTGCCGGCGCCTCTTATTCCGACGCTGCTTCGCCCACCAGGGCCGACGCTCGCTCCGGCGAGCCCCTCATGGGCGATGCGCCTCCGTCTCCCGAGGGCGAGATTCTGGGGGCAATGGGCCCGTCGGCCGCCAATAATCGTGCCGATGTGCGCCGCGGTCCCTCCAACGCCTCGTCGTCTTATAGCGCCGCTGGCCGATCCGACGGCTCTGGCGACGGTCCTATCGGTGTCGCCTACGGAGGGGGTGGGGGTGGTGCGGGCGCTGGCAACCAATACTACGACCAGTATGGCAGCGGAAACCCCTATACGGACAATGGGTATGGCCCCCAACCTACCGATGCCGGCGGCTCGCCGGTCATCCGGGACGTGACAGCCAGGAGAAACACGCGCATCGAGAACTCCTCGCATTATCCGCAGCAAACTGCTGGCATCTCGCAAAATTTCTGATCTGCACAAATCGACAAGCCATCCTAACGTCGATATCACCGGTTCGTTTTCGTTAGATGATACCTTTGCGACATGGGCCAGCGTTATTTTTCATTTGCTTCTCATACAAATGCTCTTACTGCAACAATCGCCTGTTCCATTCTTCTTACATTTCGGCGTTTACGAAGAGGCCATACGGCAATCTTTACTAAGACCTAATATCCCGGATCTAAAAATCCGCGGGTCACCGTCGCTCAACTTGCTTTCCTTTTTTTATTCTCCGTATATTTCTGTTTTCTGCATATAAGGGTTGCCATGGGGCTACGGCGCCCAGGGACTTGGGTTGCGGGGGAGCTACGGGATACCGAAAAAAGGTAGCTTGGGTCCGAGGCCGGCTGGGTAGGGGTAGTGATGGGTTTGAGGGGCTGATTTCCATCAGCAATACTCAGGGAAACAGCGGGGAGGGGTTACAGAAGGTTGTCCTTTACGTGAGGCTTGGGGATGCGGGTGCTGGGAATTGATGGGCATGTATCAAGCAAGATTTGACGAGATCAGGGACTCACAGTGGAGTGAATGTTGAGTGTTGTACGTGTAGGGATGGATCCAAGAGTAGACTGACCGCTGGTCTGATCTGACACCAGACGTTGTCCGCGTATTTACTGCTACTCTAGCGACTTTTGTTATGTTGAATACTATTGTACTAGAGGTCTCAATATTTCTAGAAAGGAAACCATCTACTGAGCATCAACAAGTTCAGGAGATTTGTAGCCTACCTCCGTGCGAGCTGTTGGCAGGTGTTGTTCCTCTGAGGCGGAGGCTTTGTTGATCCGGCTGCCCCGCTTCAGGCCCGGACCAAGCTCGGGTGGGTCCGATTTTCTAAACTTTTCGGGGCATCCCACCTTGAGCAGCGAGCTGCCTGGGCGACGACAGAGAACCGACAACCTGGAACTTACAAACGCGAATCCATAATCTCGGTGCCTCCCACAACTTTCACCGCCCTTCTTCATCTCGGTCTTTTGGACAACCTGTACCATAAGAACTACCACCGATACCAGAAAAATCAAGGCAAAAAGCCAAAGACAGGCAAAATGCAGGCCCCTGTCTTGGTGATGAGTACGTCCAGGTTTCCCCGCTATGTTCCTCTGCGATCTCCCCGCTGATATGAACTCTTCCTCGTAGACACCCAGAGCGGTGAGAGGCAGACCGGAAGGAAAGCCCAACTATCGAACATCGCCGCCGCCAAAACGTATGCTCGCTATCCCGCCCCGCATCGATGCCCCTATAACCCCACATGCTGATACTCTACCCCTCCAAACCAGTGTCGCCGATATCATCCGGTCATGCCTCGGCCCCAAGGCCATGCTCAAGATGCTGCTCGACCCCATGGGCGGCATCGTCCTCACCAACGACGGCCACGCGATTCTCCGCGAAATCGAGGTGTCGCACCCCGCCGCCAAGAGCATGATTGAGTTGAGCCGGACGCAGGACGAGGAGGTGGGCGACGGAACAACAACTGTTATTATCCTGGGTGAGTTGGCTACACGGAGACTGTCGTCATAGTATGCTTGCTAATGAGGAGGAAACAGCTGGCGAGATCTTAGCTCAGGCACTCCCCCAACTCGAACGCAACATCCATCCCGTGATTATCATTTCGGCCTTCAAGCGGGCCCTGAAGGACGCGCTCCAAATTATCGAAGATATCTCTCTCCCGATTGACATCAACGACGACAATGCCATGCACCAGCTCATCTCGTCGTCGATCGGTACCAAGTTCGTGTCGCGGTGGTCGGAGCTGATGTGCAGCCTAGCGCTCAAGGCGGTGCGCACCGTGACGTGGGAGGTGGGCAACGGCAAGCGCGAGGTCGACATCAAGCGGTACGCGCGTGTTGAGAAGGTTCCCGGTGGCGAAATCGAGGACAGTCGTGTGCTGGACGGCGTCATGCTCAACAAGGACATCACGCACCCCAAAATGCGCCGCAAGATCGAGAACCCGCGCATCGTGCTGCTCGACTGCTCGCTCGAGTACAAGAAGGGCGAGTCACAAACAAATATCGAAGTTACCAAGGAAGAGGACTGGAACCGCATCCTCCAGATCGAGGAGGAGCAGGTTAAGGCCATGTGCGAGCACATCCTCGCGCTGAACCCGGATCTAGTCATTACGGAAAAGGGTGTCTCAGGTACGTTTTCCCTTGTGCTTTACATTCTACTCATGCTGACGCCACCTTTTAGATCTCGCACAGCACTACCTCATGAAGGGTAACGTAACCGCGCTTCGGCGGGTACGCAAGACAGACAACAACCGGATAGCGCGGGCGACAGGTGCCACCATCGTCAACCGGGTAGAGGACCTGCAGGAGTCCGACGTTGGCACCGAGTGCGGGCTGTTCGAGATTGAGAAGATTGGCGACGAGTACTTTACTTTCCTAACAAAGTGCAAGTCGCCCAAGGCCTGCACAGTGCTCCTCCGCGGGCCGTCCAAGGACGTGCTCAACGAGATCGAGCGCAACCTGCACGATGCCATGGGCGTCGCGCGCAACGTCCTGTTCCACCCCCGTCTGTCACCCGGCGGCGGCGCCACCGAGATGGCCGTGTCAGTACGCCTAGCTCAGATGGCCAAGAGCATCGAGGGCGTCCAGCAGTGGCCGTACAAGGCCGTCGCCGAAGCGCTCGAGGTCATCCCGCGGACGCTGATCCAGAACGCGGGCAAGAGCCCCGTTCGTGTGCTGACGGACCTGCGGGCCAAGCACGCCGAGGGCAAGAGCTCGTGGGGTGTCAACGGTGACACGGGCGTGCTGGTGGACATGAAGGACTATGGCGTGTGGGAGCCCGAGGCGATCAAGGTGCAGAGCATGAAGACGGCAATTGAGGTATGTGACACTGGATAGAGTTCTACGGTTTCACAAACTGTATGCTGACAATCATTTCCAGTCCGCCTGTCTTTTGTTGAGAGTAGACGATATCTGCAGCGCTAAGAAACTGCAACCCGGCGTTGGCACCGGCGGCGGCGGTATCGATGAGTAGAGGCCGTAAGGCCACTGTGTTATTAGGCCAGCATAATACCCTATTAGAGGAAAAAAAGGTCCTTGTAGGTAGATAAAAAAGGCCGATCAGCGAGTTGCTCAAGTCGTCGTGACATTCCCTCCTCAGTCATCGTCGTGGATAACAGCCCCCGGGCCGTCCGCCACAACAGGGGCTTCCTGTTTTTTGCCTGTGTCCGCGTCCGCGCCCGTCCCCCCCTCGCCATTTTCTTTGTCCCCATCCTTCCCCCCCTTGTTACCAGTATCACCTCCCACCTCCCCCTCCCCTCCCTTGACAGCAGCAACCCCCACTCCTCCACCCTCCCCCTTCGGCGAATCCCCCTTCCCATCCCCATCCCCATCTCCACCCCCCTCCCCCCCCTTCTTCCCCTTTCCCCCCTTCCCCTTCTTCTTCTTCCTCTCCCTCCTCTCCCGATTCCTCCTCGTCCTCTCCTCATCCTCCCGCTCCCTCTCCGCCCTCCGCCGCTCAAACTCGCTGCCCGCCCGCTCCCTCGCCAGATCCTCGTCCATCTGCCGCAGCCGCTCGTACTCGCGCCGCCGCGCCGCCTTGTACACGTGGAACTCACCCGACCCGGCGCCGGCCGAGGACCCTTGCACGTTCGTAACAATTTCGGGGGGCGGCGGCAGCGGTTTGCGGGAGTTGGCTGGGGTGGTGCTGGAGGTGGGCGGGGGGAGGCGGATTTCTTGGGTTGGGTTGGAGAAGAGGGCTGCGAGGTGGGTTGCTTGCGAGGCGTGGGGGGAGAGCGCGCGGCGGCGTTTGGCGGGAGGGAGGTTGGTCATTGTGCTGGGTGGGTGGATTGTTTTTTATTATTTGTTGGAGGGGTTTGTTGTTGGTTGGTGGGAGTTGTTGTGAGGAGAGGGATGGTTGGTTGTGGTGTGGTGTTTTGGTGTTTAGTTGGCTGGTTTGCGTCAAGTTCGAGTTCGAGGCTGAGTTGCGACGCGACTGGCGCTCGAAGAGGTGGAAATTTAAGTGGGCCGGTGTGGTTCGAGAGCAGACTTGGCAGCAGGCTTGGCAAGACTTGGGGTCTCAGCCACTCTAGCCACAATTATCATAACTCATTAATACAAGTAGTGTGGCGCAGTAAGACCGAGGTCCAGATTACACAGTATGTACAGAGGTTCACATGGAATGGAAATCATGGACAAATGGAGAATACGAGATGCACTTGTGGAGAGCCCTCAGCGCTTGTGTAGCCGCCGCCGCCGTGCCCTCCACACCCAACCGCAGCCAATCCGGAAGCTGGGCGCTTGTTTGAGAGCATCGAGGAAAGTGCAAGCGACCAGCGGCAACTGCCGACCGCAGCCCTGCGCCGCCGTTGGGACTTTGCGGGTCATCTGATTCGTTGGCGGTCAGGCACCCATGTAGTGCCAGGGCAGCTGCACGCTTGCACCAACGTCCAGACCAGGGTGACACCAGAAGTGGCGTGAACTTCAGGCGACAAGCAGTTGGCAGCAAAAAGATCATCCCATCATCCCATTGCACTCTGAGATGCACTCGCAATCCCCTCCCGTCCTGCACTGCACTCAATAAAGCTAAGATCACTGCATCCGATGGCACCAACCGTACATTGATCTGCTATCAGACGCTGAGAAACGCTGGGAAACGCTGCGAAGCGCGCGGAACAACTTGCAGAAAAAATAAAAAGGCCCTGTAAGTAAGTGGGTCCGCGGGGCACTCAATGCCCAACTCGTCCAAGCCCCTCGGCCTGGGCATTGGTAATACCTTTCCCAGACGCCGCTGAATGGCGGCTTCTTCAGGCTTGTCCCAGGCTTGTACCAGGCAGCTGACCCAGAGCTCTGGATGAGTCGATGACTGTTTTTACTGGGGTAAAAAGGAATTGCATATCATACCTTCTTGTTCGCTGTATATTCTACGGTTTCCAAACACATTCCAAACACGAACAACTCCAAGATCGCACCTTTTTTGACTGTGCCGTTGCCCCGCTATCGGCTACTTTGAAACAAACTCGAGCTGCCCCGTGTTGCTCCTTACCCTACCTTTGAGCACACGATCACCTACTCTAGCTTCTACAGCACTGAAACCATACTCGATTATCTTCGAGGCCCATTGATTCACCATGGGTAGACCAAGACTTATCATCCTAGTCCGGCACGCCCAGTCCGAGGGCAACAGTACGTGACATGTCTCAGGCCAGGACCGGAAATGCAGCTTGGCTAACCAACTTCCGCTCTCCAGAAAACCGCGATATCCACCAGACCATCCCTGACCACCGGGTCAAAATTACACAAGACGGATGGCAGCAGGCATACGAGGCGGGCCGCCGCCTGCGAACGATGCTCCGCGAGGACGACACGCTACACTTCTTCACAAGTCCTTACCGTAGGACGCGAGAGACCACCGAGGGTATCCTAGCGACGTTGACCAGCGACGATCCCGAGCCGAGCCCCTTCAAGCGTGATAATATCAAGGTGTACGAGGAGCCGCGGTTGCGCGAGCAGGACTTTGGCAACTTCCAGCCATGTAGCGCCGAGATGGAGCGCATGTGGCAAGAGCGCGCAGACTACGGCCACTTCTTCTACCGCATCCCCAACGGCGAGAGCGCCGCCGACGCCTATGACCGTATTAGTGGCTTCAACGAGAGCTTGTGGCGCCAGTTTGGCGAGGAGGACTTTGCGAGTGTCTGCGTTTTAGGTGAGCGAACCCCTCACACCCTCCTTTTCTTCGAAGAGTACACAAGCTGACGATCACCAACCCCAGTCACCCACGGCCTCATGTCCCGCGTCTTCCTTATGAAGTGGTACCACTACAGTGTCGAGCGCTTTGAGGATCTACGCAACGTCAACCACTGCGAGTTCCTCATCATGCGCCGCAACGACGACAGCGGCAAATACATACTCGAGAACAACCTGCGGACATGGTCCGAGCTGAAGAAGGAGCGCGCGCAGGAGCTGGTCGAGAACAAGGACGAGAATGCCAAGGAGAACGGGAAAAGTAAGGACGTCTCCACGCTCGCGCGCGCTGCCACGGTTGAGGTCCGACGTCGCTGGGGCGGCTGTCCGAATGGTTGTGATCACGACAAGAGTTTCAAGATCCGCCAGACGCTGGCTGACCTCGTGAAGAGCGACAGTATCATCTCTAACCACGCCGTCGGCCTAGCCGTGAGCGAGGACGGCAGCAGCAACGGCAGCAACAGCACCGCCGTGCCCAACGGCAACGGCGCCGCAGCCAGCTCGACCCACGGCATCACCAACCCATCATTCAACGGCACGGCCAACAGCCAGACCCTCGTCAGCCGCCGGCCAGCCGCGAAGCGCTTCCAGTCCCAGACCACCGACGAGATGAGCGACGCGCCCGAGTTCACTGTCACTGGCCCCCAAATCGACGTGACCAAAGCCCGCGACGAAGTCGTCTCCAGCCCCGACGGCACCCCCTCCTTCATCTCAGTCGAGGACCGCCTCCGCTCGCGGCTCAAGAGCCCCAACATCCCACCACGCCCGCTGGAAATCACCCAACTCCACGTCGGCCGCGACTTCGGCGGCACCTACAGCGGGCACAACAGCGCGGGCAGCGACGACGCTGACTCGGACGACGACAACGCCCACCGCCGCGCCGCCGCCCTCGCCACCCCTTCCCCCTCCTCCTCCACCACCAGCACATCCAGTCCCGTCACCAACGGCAGCCGGCCCGCCACCGGAACCACCACCGCCACCACCACCACCGCTCTCGGCATCCCCGCCTCGGCCATTCCGCTCCACCACCGCCCCCACAAACACTTCCACCACCACCACCATCACAGGGAACAGTCCCGCATGGGCCGCGGCACGCGCGCCAACCGGCTGGGCGATCACCATAGCAGCGACGGGGAGCACGAGGCGGATTGCGAGCATGAAGCTGATTGTGCAAATGGAAAGGGGCTTGGTGGGGATGGGGCTGCCTCCTGCGAAGCGGATGAGGAGAGCGGGTCTGAGTTGACGCGCGAGATGGTGGATGAGGCGGATCAGGTGTTGGCTAGGGAGGAGAGGGAGAATCGGAGTATTTTGGGGAGTGTGTATTAGTTGGGGCTGTGGAAGGGAGGTGGGGTTGGTGATGGTTTTATCATATCATGTCATGTCTGATGTTGTGTTGTGTTCTGTTGGGTTGTTGGGTTGTATTTTTGGAGTTGGAGCGAGCGAATATTTGGTTTTTCTTTTTTGTTGTTTGTTGGTATGGGAAAAGGAAAACGGGGAGGGAAGAGAGAGGGAGACTTTGCTGTCTGTCTGTCTGCCGGTCTCCCCGGGCGGGATTAGTGGACCATCCCCCCATGTGTGGTTTTGTCTTTGAGGACTAATTAGCTGTTGGGATGAGTGACCATCGTGCAGCGGGGATCTCTTTTGCATGCTTGGTTGGTTGCCAGACGTTGATGGAACTGTGTCATGTCGCATGAGGACGAGGAGGATATACCATACTCAGATTGTTTTTGCAGGGAATATACACACACAGTACAGATGGCTTGACATGACTACAAACAGAGTTTGATGGAGCAAGCATGGCGTGCTTTTTACCGTTGCATGGGAGTGAATTGGGAGTAGCAGATTAGCTTGTTGTGGGCGATGTGTATCGTTTGATGAGCAACCCTGGCGTTGCGCTTACTTTGGCAAGAGAGGTTGGCGATAAAGATTATTAGAGGTACTACGTGTGTGTATTTTAACCCTCTAGTCTACCTTGGAGAAGTCGATCATAAAAAATAAAATCAGAAAATGACTTCTTACATTCCGACTTTCTAAATGCCTCCCCATCATCAAAACTACCCTACTTGTGGAGACAAAAAGCTCACCACCAAGCCCCATTCCCCGGCGGAATGGAGGTTGGTGGCTACGAAAACTCTTTTTTCTTTAGAGTTTTGCGCCGCGAGGGGGAGTCGAACCGGTCCTCTTTCGATTGGTGTCCAACCGGTCCTTCTCACAATACCGCTGAGCTAAACCGTTGTTTAACTTCAATTGTGAGGAGGCGGTGACAGTGTGCGTACGGGAACTTGTATATATAGTGCCGAGAAGGTGCCCTGTGCACGGGCAAGCTGCGGAAAGGGTCCGAGTTGAGATGGAAGGTTCAGATTCCATACGGGTGTTGCCGGCTGTGACCATAATGTTTACTCTCTCAGCTTTACTCAACTTGCTGAGAAGTGTGTCTACCATGTTCATGTAGTAGGTAGGCTAAGTAAGAGAGCTTGGGAGAAGTTTGGGTACTGTATCAAATAGGGGTTATTGACACGGGCATGTAAACAAATCATAGACCAGGTCAGGGCAAGTCCCTTTCACTCATTAGGTAACCTCAATGCTAGTCGACCCAGGAGCTTAATGTCTTAACTCGGAACTTGAATAAGGTTGTCTTGCTCCCAGCCAACCCTTGTTCCTAATCCCCATGGCCGACCCAAAAAGGCTCGCCTAGATGTGTGGCGAAGGTGAAGAGATTGGTCACACAGGACGTTAGGATACACGAGGTACAGGCCTGCATAATCACACAAGATGATCTGGAAGACAGGAAGGGTGTTGTAGCACCGCATATCACCCAATATTTCGCCTCTCTCAACGTGTGTTACTTACACGGCGCCGGAGCCACCTACATTTGAATATTGTGGTCCGTTGCATCGACCCGACAATTTCTCGTCAGCGGGACACAACCGGGGGGCGAACGCAAATTTTCCTTTTGAAGTGCAACGCCGGCTTCCATCGGCAGTCTGTGTGAGGCTCATGGCTCTCTTGGTGGCCCCTGAGGAGCATGGAATGAGGTTGGTTGCGTATTGAATCATGTCTATCACTGGGGAGGGAACGCGGATCGAGGTTCCGGAAGGCTATTCAAACGCCTGACTTCAGGAAGAACTGAGTGAGGTATTATACTGGCCCGATATAAGTGTAAAACCTTCGGCGTGGGCGAGCAGATACCTAGGAAGGCATCGGTATTGCTACCCCGGCCCTACAGACCGACTCTTCTCCGGAGAACCCCTTCAAACATGCATCACCAGCATGACCTCTTTCCATGTGATTTGATTGACCCAGACCTATCACTTCAAACACGCAGTTGTGTGATCTGACTCGTCGTTACCTGCTCATCATACGGACGAGAGAAAAGTCAACAACCAAGAGACAGAACACCGATTCAACGGTACCCTCATCACCTAAAGCGGAGCAAACCCAACGCCCCTCGTCACATCAATGGTACACACCCCATAAACATAAACAACCAAGCGTGCAGTCACACCTGTCCCATCAAGGCGCCCATACCCTCGCACCGTCGTATCACGAGCCACAACGATCCGGACGGCCGCAGCAAAAAAACATACGCACGATCCGGCAGGCTCCCGACAACCAGAGCGGATATCCGCAGGCCCCCAGCGACGCCACCAGGGCTCGGCCATCTCGGGCAGGCCGGGCCTCGGGTAGTCACAGTTGCCTTGCTTTTCTGTCATGTTATGATATCTATTCCCTCTCAACGAGTGTCCATTACCTCATGACGCCCATGCTGCCGCTACCCGCGCCCCAGCAGCCCATCCTATTCTCACCCCATCCATCTTTTCCCACCACCAAGCGGAGTGGCGAGGGGGTGGCCCGGGGGGGGCAACAGCGTTGACACTCGATAGTGCGACATTTCATTGAATACCCCCGAACAAGAAAAAAAAAAGCGGGCGGTTACATGACTTTCAGGTTGTGTTAAGGCAGTGTGTTACCCCGTCTTGGGGAAGTCAGCTGGGCATGTTATCCCCAACTGGGGCATCTTGACACACATATCTCAGCTGATGATAGGGGGTACGAAAAGGGGATGGATGAATGTCACAGTATTCATCGTTTTGCCACTCTCCAATCTGGGCAGGGGCAGGTTCACGCGAGGCTCGGGCTTAGTAGCCACACACACACACACTCCGGGGATGGCTCGGTACGTTCGGCGGCCGGGCCAGCTCGGAAGCAAGTACGAGCAAGCAAGCGCCGGAAATCACTTGACGGTGTGAGAACCGGATTCTTGCAAGGCAGGCAGACCCAGGCGGGCTAAACTTTGAGGAGATAGGGGGGGTTGTCGACAGTCGAGATCAACGCTGATATGTTTGTCTCTGGGTAGAGAAAAAAGAAGCAAACGAAATGGCCACAGGCCGCCAACCAGGTCCATTTTTCAAACGGCCACTCTTCAGAAACAAAACAAACTAGCTTCAAACAAGGACCTAATCGACACTTGCGGCCTCAAGGGAACCGGACCATCCAATTAAGCAGACGAACAATAAAAACTCCAACACAGAATGATCAGTCGGGCCGTAGAAAACCAAGAAAGATGGCGCATAAAGTCTTAGTCCGCCACCCCTGACTATTATCACGAGGGAGATGATGGATGGCAACCCCACAACACCCCATCACCACCCTCCCCCATCTGATATCAGAACCGTCAGTCATGCCAATATATCCACCCCCGGCCCTTCCAGAGGTCCAGAGGGCCCCAAAAATTACACTGTCTCGGGTCCTCAGGGGGAAACATCCAGGGCAGCCGGCGCCAAAACGTAGTCAGTCAGCTGGCCAATTCTCCCCTGATAACTCCGTGGAGCGAGCAAGTGCACTAAACGACGCCCAGCGCGTAACACCACAAAGCATAACAAAAACACGACATTACGATACACCCAGTGAAAGACCAATCACAGCCCCCCGACTCACCACCCCCTCCCTCTCCGGCGCCCATCGTAACCCTGTAATCGCCCCCTATTCTGGTATCACCACAGTACGGAACACACACAACCCTCTCCATGGCCCCCATCACGGGATAACTAGACAGAGCTAGTCTAGGATAGGTTAGGCATACCATCCGGGAGGGCGACTGAGGAATCTGGGGCCCTCTGCTCGGTCGGGTAGGGTAGCATCCGACCCCCTTCTGCTCTTAACATGTCTTCCAAGCGCCTGCTTAATACGTTGCGGTAGTTAAGACAGGTCAAACAGGTTGTTAGCCATCTGGAACCCCCGACTGGCTGAGTCAGGGGGGAGTGTTCCGGGGGAGGGTGGTACGCAGCGACGGTTAGGGTGTGGAGTGTGGAGTGTGGATTGTGGAGAGGATGTGGTGGTGGCCTGGTGTGGGCGGCCGTGGCGGATATGCACGCCATGCTCTTGCATGCGCCCCCTTCAGCCCGTCCTGGCTTGCACAATATTGGCTTAGTGTATGCCTCGAGGGAAAGGAGCACAGGGTAGGGGCACGGCAGCAGTTTGGGAGGGTGGTGGTGGTGGTGTCGTTTGTTGAGTTGCTTGGCATGGTCATTGTGCGATAGCTTGGGTGTTACTGTGCTAGGAATAGGGGAAAGGGACGATACGGCTACGTAAAAAGGGGGGAGGAGTGGCAAAAATTGGCCGAGTCGGCATGTCATTGTTTTCCCTCGAGGGGGCCTCCTATTTTCTCCTTATGGAGGATCAGCTGTCGTTCTGCAGCAGATGTGTCCCGTAAACGGATGCATATTGGGAGCCAGAAACGCCCACAGGTTGCGTTGAGGTTGCGGCAGCAACGAATATCGTCTACTTTGCAGGAGACCGTTTCAGCCAGCTAGAGGCCTCGACCTGTCCCGTCCTCTGCTCCCCAGATGCGCGCCACCGGCCTGCAGCAGCTGGGAAAGTCCATTTGAGGCTGGAGAGGTCGGCTTGACTCCTCGAGTAGAGTGGGTGTGAACCGGAGATCGTCTTGCGTGGGGGAGCGACCTATGGGGGGACGAGGTTGGCAACCACTTCGCTCTGGGCTGTTGGTGAGTGTGTGGGGAGCACCGAAGAGAGCGGGCGTACATGACGCTACTGCGTCGTGCTAGGACCTCTTTTCGGGCAACCCGCGTTGGCGGCCGACACTGTTGCTGCAGCATCGGGAGGATGGCTGCCAGAATGAGGAAGCCGGCTGCATTTGGTGCGTGCCATCCGCCAACCACCACCACACCACCCAATGCTTCTCGGCGGCACGCAGTTGAGCTTGCACTGGCAAGATAGGCAATCTTAGCCAACGAGGGAAGAAGAGATGCGTGGGAGGGCAGATGCAGGTAGGACCCCTTCCTTTCCAGTCAGATTAACGATGATGACAGGCTCCTGCGAGTCCCTGCAGATCTCTGCAAACGAGAGCAAGAATCCCGCGCTCTGTCTGAGACGGTAGGTTCAGAAACACCGACGACAGCGATGACCACGATACGATGGTGTGATTGCAAAGCAATCACTGACGGGGCAACGGCAGAAACAGAAGGGAGACCCCGGATCAGATGGTGCCGATCCAAAACCCCCGCCACAGAGGAATTTCGTAATCCAGCCCGGCGAAGCCCGGTTTCTTGTTCGGTCGGCCAGTTTCACCAACCCGCCCGGCCGTCAAAATCCCCGGGCGGTTGCTGCAGAGCGTCGACGGTGCCCCTGCGGATCCGGTGCGCTGGGATGGCGAGAATGGCGAGAGATGACGAAGTCTGCCTGCCGGGCCTGACAGAGCCACTGGGCCTTACTGTGCAGCGCCGGGTGCGTTGAGAGAACGGTTAGCGTCAATCCTCCTGTCCCACGAAGGACCCGGCGACTGCGTCGTGGTGCATGAATTGATGAATTGGGACCTTCGACACTAGCGCTGGCGAGGTGCCACAGCGTGCGTGTCATGTGGGAGGTTTCGGGACATTCTTTGGTTTCTTACCCATCCCATGCCGTTCCATTCTCTTGGATAATGCTCGCGCTTGCTGGATGAATGGACAGGTAAAACGCGGGGGGGTGCTTGTCCTCGTGGACGACAAGAACGCTAGTGCATCATCCAAGAGTCTTGAACCATACCCAGCCTTTTTCTCGTCAGTTTCTGGGATGAGCCCTCATTGGTAACATCATGTGCTGTGTTCGCGCCCGTTGGTCTCGAAGAAGTCTTGGAATGCATGCGCTAGCGATTCCTCCAGTGAGCGACGGCGGTTGGTACCGACAGCTGCATTAGCGGTGCCGGGTGCCCGAGAAGGGGCCTGATTGAACGCTGGAACGCTGGAACCAAAGTGCGAATTGCGAATTGCTTCCTCTCATGTCCTCATGCGAGTAAGGTGGAAATCGGCACGGCAAACGGGCATCTTTCAGGTTCATCAAATTCGTCGGAAAGAGCTAACCTGCGTTCGTTAATCAGGCTGCAACCTCGCTTCCTTCCTTCCAAGTCCCGCTGCTGTCATGTTAGGCGAGTACGAACGCTGCAGGATGTCGCTCGTCCGTTTCTTTCCAGACCCGGACAGCTGGTCCCCTGCCGACGACGTCCTTTCCACATCGAATTGGTCACTGAAACACAAAAAAGAGGGGTGCTGTTGGGCCTGCGCTGGCATTCTTGGGGACCGCCAAGGTGCTCTGCAAAATTGTGGCGCAATTCGACAGGGACAAGGCCTCATCGATTTGTCTCCATCTTCAATTTCCCCAGATTTTAGCTCCCCATCGACTCCATCCTCCGATTCTCAAAAGCGTTAGGCAAGACGATCGAATTCGCAGTTTTTAGAAACAGCCAGACTGAGTGCCGGAGGCGTGTGGTTTCTACCCCGCGTTTTCTTGTGCTTCTTGACATTCCATCCACAGGAGTTCCCATGCCAGACACCGTTGACCGTTCGTCACCGGGCAAGGGTCGTGATGCAGGAACCTGGCATGATGAGTTTAGGTGCCCGACTTGTGTGTCGTCGTTCCTCTCCATCGGCGGAGGGGGGAGATAACAAGTTCCTGGAAACTTTTTGTTTGGGTCGCCTCGTTAGCGCCGTCAGCGTCAGCGAGCGAGTTGGGTGAGTGATCGCAATGCTCCGGAATGAGCACGTCCCAGCAGACCGGCATCTCCTGGGTGAAACATGGGCTTCCTCTGCCACCCGTGCCCGGTACCATGGGAGCCCGGGTGAAGCCGTCTGGACACAGTACCAGTTCACCGAACTCATCACCACACCGAGACAACGAGACCCGGAAACGAGACCGGCAGCCTTGTCTTTGCGCCCACCGCTGCCTGCCGGGCACCGATTGCGAACAAGTGCTCTTCATTGCCTCCTCGCACCAATCCCTTTCAGAAGTCGCCATCCCCCTTTCCGGTTGCGCCTGCATTTGCAGATTGCGGGGGCAGGGGACCACGAGGCCTGCAAGGGGCTTGGCAGAGACCGGACGAGCTTGCCCTTTTTCTTCTTAGCCTGGCCCCACTCTGAGCAAGAAAGAAAAAAGTCCGCAGGGCAGGCTCCACACAAAATGCGGAGGAGAAGGCACCCGAGAGCACTCTGGGCACCACAAGGCTCAGAGGGTTGCAGCCCTTTGACTTGGCATCAACAAGAATTGAAAAGGGACGACGCCCAGGAAACAGGGGCTTCGGCTTTTGCTGCCACCCCTTGTTGCTGTTGAGCGTTGCCGTTGAGCCTCATCAGACTGTGGTGATGTGATACTGTGTAACTATTGTCACCTCGATCCCTCTTTGACTTGTCCTCGGGCGTGTTCGAGACCCGAGTATCCCGACGTGGCTTTCGCTCAATACGGCAGCAGAGCAACAGAGCAACTCGGTTAACAAGTGATTACCACGCCGGTGAGGACCTCGGGCCGGCCGGACCAGAGCGTCACGTCTGAACAAGACAGAGGCACATCGTCAAAAACACCCGCTGCAGTCTCACCTCCTTTTGGGCGCCTTTCAATATTCCCACATTTCGCTTCTGTGCTCCTTGGCATAACCGGGGTGGCTGGCAAAAAGCAAAGAGGAAAAAAAACCGTCTTCCCCCTGTCTGTCACCTTGTTGCTCACACAGACCGATAACGAGTGTACAACAAACCAAACAGTTGCTTCTGCATCTCGTTCGCGCGAACCCTGTCGGTGAAGTTGAGGAGCCTCCGGCTCGACAAGCGCTCTGCACAATCTGGTTGGTTCAAGCTGAAGTTGCCGAAGCCTGGACCATGTTGATTGGCTACAGTCGCCGCGGCAGGGGCCGCAACCCTCTTTGAACCAGGTTCGGATCTCGCGATGGATGTTACGCTGCCTTTATCAACGGGCGGCATGTCCAGGGGCCAGGGGAACACAAGTTGAAGATCTCGATCAAGCCGGTCCAAAAGAAAACAAAGGGAGCGGCAAAACGGCAGTATTGTGCAGTCAATACTCGAGTCCGTCACTCGACTCGTGGCCGGGAGAGGCGCCATGGAGTGAGTCGCGTGGCAGTCGCCAGCTTCCGAAGATGACCCCGGCGCTAACTCCCGTTCAACAATGCTCCCTGGATTCGCTCAGCTATCTAATATTTTCGTCTTTGTTCTTGTCCCTTCGAAGGGAAAGGGGCATATACACAGTACCCATCCGTATGTAGGTAGGTCAAGGTAGGCCGCGGTTGTTCAGGGGCGTTTCAACGCAGGCGCGGGCCCAGCCCCGGTCTCGCCCGCATGCAACTTGACTACAGGAAAGGTTGACGCCCGTCCTGCCGCCGTCTCATTCAGCCGGGGCAACCTGCTGCAGGTCCTGCATGCCCGTAATAAAGGCTTGAACCTTGGGAGATCTGAACTGAACCTGTCGGGGCTCGGTCAAGCCATTTCATGCGCAGAGGTGTTAAAGCAGAGATGACGAGAAAAAAAATCTCTTCAGCCGAGGGCCAGTCATCGTCTTTGTCTGGCTGACCACTGATGCCCCGATGCCACGATAGGAAAGGTCCCGATCGGTGTGTCCTGCTGAACCCCAAGGCACAATTTCAGCTTTCTACACCCACCCCACGAGGAGTCCATAACCACCAACAACCGAAACTTGTCCTGTGCAGAGCATCGGGCGACTCGGTAGGCGGCCAATGGACGGGCTGATGCCCCTGGTCAGCGAACGACAAGGCCAACAAGCCACAGGCCATGTGCGTGAATGATCGCCATTTCTGGTAGCTCATATTTTTGGCAGGCAGCACGAACTCCCACACGAGAAATCGTTCCCCCGAGTGTCCGCACTGAGACAGCAACGGGGACCGGGGGTCTGGATGTGGAAGAAGTCGCCGGTCTTTTCGGGGACGAGACCACGCCGCAATTCCAATCCTTTTTAGCATGACTTACTTTGCAACAAACTAGCGGACGACGGGCATGAGGCTGAGGGCATTGTTGGGGTGTCGAGTCTCTCTTTGTGTGCACACTCGGAGGGACTTTCTCATTCTTGGCCTCCCCTGGAGGCTCAAGTGACTGGAAAAAAAAGAACCCCAAAAAAAACCTTCACCGTCAGCACCGAGAATCCTCCTCATTCACCTGTCTGGGTCCTGTCCGATGATTGGTCCCCTCACCGATATGGCCTAGCTGATTCGCCGACGACACACGCTCTTGGACGATCAGACTCAGCGTCGCCGCCACCAACTCAACCAGCACGCTGGAAAGAGGAACAAGGCACTGTCTGGCGTGCACACAAAACTCCTGCAAAAAGAAACAAGAAATCTCCCGAGTGATCATCACCCCCCAGGCATTTCCCACGTTGGATGGCGTCCGGCCTCCTTTCGTTGTTTGTCTCTTCCGCCCCCTTCTCCCGTATTCCCAAGTCCATGGCACAGTCTCGATCCCAAAACGCGGGTATGATGCCGTGGCTGGCGCTAGTTCCTTGATACAGGAATGTGCTGATTCCCAATGGTCCCGGGGGAGGCATGATCAACATCACGCCAGCAATAAACATCAGCCCCGAGCAAGCAGAGCAAGATGAGCGAGCACCAGAGCAGCTGAGCAGCTGAGCAATCCCTACTAATGCTTATCAAGTTATCATGCCATCTCACGAAAGCGCTAGTTGTTAGCGGACGTTGCGTTATCTCTTCCATCGCAGCTGTTCCCCCGATACGCGATGCTCGGTAAGCCAGCCATCCGGCCAGCTCTTAACTAAACCGGGAAGAGGTCCAGCAAGAAAGAGTTAGCGCCATCTGTCCTGTTCTGCACGGATCGACGCCTTGCACACCACCCACCCCCCCATTTCGTTCACCTGTCACAGTCCTGTTCGGGTTCTCCCAGGCTGTGTTGGGCTGCTTGCTGCTAGGCTAGTGTTGCTGCTAGTGCTGCTGGTGCTTTGCTGCTGGTGGCCGGGCTGGGAACAAGCAGGCGAGCACCGCCGAGCAGGTTGTCTCAGATGGAAGCATGATGACATCTTGTTGTCTCAGACTGAAGAGTGTGAAAGTGCCCGGCGACTATCGGGCGAGTCGGAAAGCCGACTCGAGAAGGCTCTGTTGTGCCGCGAATCTCCGAGATGGTTGCCGTCGTCGTCAGCAGAGCAGCTTTGCCTAGCTTTCCCTGTTCTTCTCTTCATTGCGTGTCCTCGCGCGGGCAGTGTTTTTTTTTTTTTGTGACATGTCCGCGTCCGAAAAAGCCGAGACGCGCGACCACCCCCGAAGATACCGGTCGGTCACTGGGCCGTCGGCCGGCGGGCGAAGCTGACGCATCAGCACCCACGGCGGCCGGCGGGTTATTGTGGATGGCAAATTTCGGGTTTCAGGTGAGCCGTAATCACGGATTTCAGATTCCCATCCACCCATTTCTCACCGCTCGCGATCGCGAATAAACAGAACAAAAAAGAAAAGCAAAGCTGATGCCGGTGGGCTTCGGCAGTGCAGCCGATCTGGGGTGGTTCATCCCCCACAGCGATCGCTAACTACATAACATGGGGACGGACCGAACAGGGAGTGACAAGGACAAGGACAAGGTCGAGTCTGCGCAGAGAACGAATCGCCAGTCTTGCCGGAGGGCTTGTGGAGCAAAGAGACCCTTCATTCTCCGAGATGTCCACCGCTCCTGCGCCGTCGCAGGGCAAAAGGGGAAATGGTGAGGGTAACCGTGACATCCAAAATGGATTTTGAGCTGCTCATCCTGTCTTCTGGCGTGATTCCTCACTCGCCAGAAGTACACAGCTGGTGTTCGTCCGGGGATTGGATGGGGCCAAGGGAGCTTCCGCTTGGGAGAGTCCCGTCTTGGGAACCACTAGCAATACATCGGGAATAAGGTGCCACCGCCCACGAGACCACAGAATGTGATGGCATTCGCCGGACAGCTTTCTTGGATTCTTGGATTCTTCGAAAAAGTCGTACCGGGGCCTGGGACTCCCAGTAGGACTCCACTTTGTGGCATGGAAAAGATGCCGAAGGCGGTGGACAGGCACGACGGTGAGCAATTGCGATGCGAGAGTAACGATCAACCAAGAAAGAGGCAACTCGGTTGCCTTCAATTCAAGTGTGATGGCGTTGACGAGAGCGACGCTGGGCAACCCTCACAATACTGCAACTTTGCTTGCGACAATACACAACAGGCATTTCGCCATGTTTGAAACGGGTGGCCTCTTTGCACACAACATGCAATTGACGAAACGTGGTCGGGCGGTGATTTGTCGAGCCTGCAGCAGTGAGCGCTGCAGGTGAATCCGAAAAGAGACAAGCCCAGGCAGGCTCCCCACAGCCGATGAGACGGGGGGCTACTGGTCGAACTGGTGTGCGCGGCAGGCATAAGTGAGGTATCTCAGAGGGGTTGGCGAGGAATCGGGGCATGCAGTCGTTGTGCAAGATCTCCATGATCGACTTTTTGAAGGGTCCTGTTTTCCATGCTTCGACGGCAAGTCAAAACCATCCATTCCTCGCTCCGCCATGGCGATCTTCTGCCGGGTGCGGTCCACGCAACATCTTGTGACAGACCTCGAATGCGTGAATAACTACCATCTGCCGTCTGTCTCACCGGAGATGCAGTCCAAGTTACTTTGGACACGAGAGAGAAACAAAAGGAATGTGGAATGTGGAATGTGGGCTTGCTTGCCAGTCACGAGCGCCGTAGGTTGAGCACATAAACATCTCATCAACACTCCGAAAAGGCATCCCGGGCGGCTGGCGATATGCCGTGGCATTGGACAATGGCAACGGCACTGGTCTTGACGGCCACCCAACCGTGGGCAGGCAGCATGTTGCTCTCCTGCAGTGCTTCACCCGGCGCTGATTGGCATTGGCGAGAATCGAGCGTCTCATGCGGCCGACGGCGCCAACTTTCGTCCTGCAGCAGGAACTGCACGCCCGAGAGGGAGGAGTAATAGTTCGTCCCAGCCGTGAAGATTGCTGGCCATTGACCAGTCCAAGGGCGAGGGCGGCCAATGGAAACGACCGCCCGAAGGGTCACTGTCCGGTCTGCCTTTTGATGCAACTGGAATTGGATTGGGGAGTTTGGGGAAGGGGGGGCGAAGGTCGCACTGCAGCCTGCTGCAGCTTCAACAGTCGCCGGCCTCCACTCACTCGATAACAGCATGGAGCATGGAACATGGAGCGTCGTCGTCGTGTGCGTCCGAGCCTTCCCTATCAGTGTGTGCCTGGCAAGTCGCAACCCGGGAAATGTTGCGCTGCAGGGCAATATCGAAGTCGAAGGAGCGGGTGGAACCCCCACGCAGCTATCTGTTGTTTTATCTGCTTGTCTGCTTTACCCTGATGACCCTCCGGCAATGCGACGGAGACGAACGTCATGAGATTGTGGATGAATTGTTGTTGATGATGGGTGACAAAAGAAGAGACAAATTGACATTCCTGGCAACACCACGGCCGCAGCCGCGCAGTTTCAGCATCTGAGTTTCGGAACCATCCCATGCCAACCGGGAGGGGTCGTCATTGGATGGCCTTGCAGAAGAAGAAAAAATATTCCTGTTCTCTCTGGGCGAAGGCGAAAAACACAGGCTTTGCAAAACGCCTGATCGCTGAGCCCGGGCAAAGCCTGAGGCCACCATACCTGCACCCCCGGGTGGTGGTGGTGGTGGTGCGCGGCGGGCACCGCAGTCTCAAGCAGGCGATGGGTCGATCGGCCTGGACTGCGAATGTTATCTGCACACTTCTCTCGCCTTCCAGGTTCTCGACGGACAGACAGCAGACTTAATGAACAGATGGGACGAGAAAAAATCAGACAAAGGTCAGGAGAACAGCAGATAGCGATAGAAACCCCACTGCCATCGGCCTGGTTCCATCTTGGCAATCTATGTCATTCACAGAGGGCCGGCATGAGCACCTTCATGGTTTTGTGAACATCATCCTGGCAGGCAATGGCGATGGGGTTGCATGTCAATTGCGCACGCAGCACACCTTCTTGCGAACCTCGGGCCTGCTCGAACAGCACCCACGGGGGTGCGACAATGACTGGGTGCACGCCAGTCCAGTCTGCCAAGATGGCGTCAAGGTGCCAGACTCCACCCATTCGCTCACAAATGACCAGGGTGGTGCCACGACAAGGCCATGTTATGCTCACGCCGTGCAAGAAAAAATTCTTCTTGCACACACCAAGACAAGGACCCCTGCTCCTGGTCTCTGACAAAAGGGGGCTAGCGCAGATTGCAGCCTTTGGCCCTTTGCAAGACCAGCCCCACCACACTTCTCACCCTGGTCGTAAGTGGAGAGCTACTTTCTCCCTGCGTACCTCAAACAGCGGATTGCGGCGCCCGAGTACATTGCGGCACCCTCAGGTCATGTACCCTAGCGGCGCCAATGTCTGAGTCCTCGTGGGTCCTTTGTGGTCATGGGCCTCTGCCTCACTCCTCCTAGCCCACACACCCTCAACAGCCAGGGCAGGCCGCTGCCAGGATACTTAATCCAGGCTGCCCCAGCTCCCCTCAACCTCATTCCCGCTTTGGCAGCAAGACAGCTTCGTCGTTGATTTCACACACACTCTCCTTCTCGTCTCCACCAACGCTCCTGCCTTGGATTGGCATCTATTGCTATGAGTCAACAAGCCTTCGTCTTCTTATAGTCACCCATCTTCCCTTGGAAGCAGCTCGCAGCTCCGGACTCTCTCTCTCCATCAAGCAACAAGCAACAAGACATCAGCGACTACACCAAGACGCAATCATCACTACAACCACCACACACCGTCGAGCACCCTACATCTGACACGCCTCGACTGTGGTAGCCCAGCTCGCTTTACTCGTGCTCTGAACACGACCTCCTCGTCTGACAACGTCGACACCATCAACCACCAGCCACCAACCACCGTCATGTCTTTCGATTGGGAACATCAGTTTTGCCTGGGTTGCGACAAGCAAACCGACGGCGCCACCTACTGCTCCGAATCCTGCCGCCTGGCCGATTACGAGAAGACCTCGCCATCAACACCCAGCTCTGCCGCGAGCTCTCCGGCACTGAGCGGCCCTCCGCCTGACTGGACCCTGTCCAGGCCAACAACGACGAGCAACACCAAGTTCTATTTGTCACCGGCATACGACTTTGGCCTCGCCCAGCCAAGCACCCGCAGGGGCTCGACCCAGACGCTTTCGCCCTCGGCATCCCACACCAGCCTCTGCTCGATGCGGAGCAACTCCTCGGCGGGACTCGATGCGGCACAGCTGTCTGAGAAGGCGGCGAGGGAGCTCCGCGCATACGCCCGCTCATTCGAGTCGGTTCGCCTTCAACGCAGGCGCTCGGCCTAAAGACGGACCAATGCCTCGGGCAACCGCGACATTCTCCACGCTATCCTTCGACACTCTTCTCTCAGCAGCGACTATACACACACCTACACTCAATCTCATCACGCTTCCGTCCTTCGGAAACATCACACGACTCAGTCTTCCACCACACCATCTCCTTTGTCTTATCGGTCTACGGTCTTGTTGTAACAAAAAAGAATTTGCATACATCGGAGCACAGCATCATAAAAAAGTCTCCCGGGTTTAAGGGGTTGGGTTGGGTTCTACAATTGTTTTGATATTTTGGTTATGGGCAACCAGGGCAAGGCGTATTTCGGTTTCCGGGCGAAAGATACCGTGTATTAAGCAGCGATACACTGCGACGGCGGGGTTTGTTCTCTTTTTCCTTTCGGCTTCTCTGCATATGGGGCGGGTCTCGGACGGCGGCGGGGAAACCACATGGAAATTGGTGTTGAGCAGGGCAAGCTCAGATTGTTTGGACCCGGTTTTGGCTCAGAGCCACTGGAATTGGCGTTGGAACACAGCATCTTGAGAGCTGTGGGGTGCTCCGGCACCCAGCTGGATTGGGACAGGCAATTGATGACGCTGTCAGGATAGGAATTTTCTTGGATGGGAGTTGCACCACTGGTAGCGGAGAATCGGCTCCAGGGCTCTCAGTCGAGAGCGGGCGTCCCCGTGTACTCGGGTTCGCCCCGCACAGGATGGCGGGCAACTCTTTCGAGATTGACAATCATCAAATTTGAAGCATTTTCCAATCCACCAACCGTATCACCTTCGCGAGCAGCGTGCCATGTTTCCTCATCAGGGTCTCCACAACTATGTCTGGGGCGCGCAATGCCTTAGGTAATTCTCCACTGCAGCCACTCACCACTCATCGAGCTGTCTCGCCGCACATGCCATCCAGCCATTGCCATCGTGCCAGAGAGGCAGAGCGGAGTTGCATTCGCCGTTCCACAGCTCGACGATTGGACCACCTTGCCAACCATCATTCGACTGCAAGGCACGCTTGGGCAGACAGAGTTTGACTGCCGGGGCGATACTTACAGTCATCTCACCAAAAACGACAACGAATTCATCAATTGAATACTCCACTTCTCTTACCTGGTCGTTCGACTCTCAAATTTTTCCCCTCATCTCGCTATTCTGGAAATTTCTGGCATGTCGACAGCTGCGCGCCGGGCGGCTTGGAAGCCACTGCCAGATCCACGCTTAATCCATTATATTACATAGGGAGCTCTGTCTCCAGTCAAGCGATCCGCACTCTCTCCGCAGTGATCATCGAAAGAGTGTGGAAACCCGATGTTCCCTCTTTGGCAATCGAAATCCACCCGGGGGCAAGACCGCTACGGCCTGCGCCACGTTACACCTGTCTGGCTCAGTCTGGCGAGTTTTGCTGCTGCATCGCCTTACGATAACCAACTGAAGGAGCAAATTTGGGTCAAGGGTTTTGCATCCCAATCCGGAGCGAATTGAGTCGAGGCACCAGTCCAATGGGTCGGCTTGCCCATGTCCCATGCCCAGTGGCGAGTCGGAATTTTTCGTTCAACACTAAGAAACTTTGTTCGAACTAACGACATTGACTCATTCGCACCTCATTTCAAGCGTAATTTGCGCCTTGACGCCCGGGCCAGAACAGCGCGGTGGGCCCATTTCCGACCGCGCCATGGAGGACATTGGCCCCCCTTACTCAAGACTTTCATTGATATCCGTCATAGCTTGGACAAGTCCGGGTCCAACTCCGGCGAAGAGCTCCCGAGCCCCAGGCCGGACGAAATCCCCCGTCCACCCCTCAACATTATGAGAGCTGCTGTGGGGTTGAGTCCAGAGCAGCCTACGCCACGGGCGCTTCCCAAGATCTCCCAAGATCCCAAAGTCGCCATCAATGGGAAACCCTAACGCCATCGGCTGACCCGACAGCCTGGAGACTTTCGGCCGGAACAAAGCGACAGCGATTACACAGTAAACGAAACGACGATCGGCTTTACAACCCCCGCTTTTGCATGGCTTTCTTTTTGATGTTCGCCTCTCCTGCATGCCCGGCACCTGCCCCTTGCCTAGCTCCAACGGACCGCCCGTGGAGAAAAAGCACCGAAATCTGGGGAAGGAAGACGTAAGTTGGCTTTCGCCATCGTCCAACTGACTAAGCTACACGCTCCAGCTTGAACTTCGCATCTCCATTTCTGCGGGCGATCGGCTTTGGAGTATTATGCCACCACGGGCGGGGCCACGAGCTCTCATGTCATAGTTATCGTGATCTATGACAACAAAAGTAAACGAGTCAGCCGCGGGATTCTGATCCTGCTTTTCCGACTGGCTGGGCACGGCTGGTGAGGACAAAGAAACTGGACCCAACCGACCGGGCAGACTCCGGCACAGGACAAAGGAGAGGATTCTTCCCGTCCCTCCTCATCCACCTGATGAATCACTTGTCAACTTTTTCTCCATCATCTCCGTCATGGCGGACACAAAGCCTGTTAGGCCATTCATGCAAATCGTAGGTAGGGGCTTGCACCGTTGTAGTTACTCCGCAGTCATATCGCCCGGGATCGTGAACGGCCGACAAACCCCCCGTCTACGCTACAAAGGGGGAGGATGGATCGATCAAACCTCACCACCCAGACAGTAAAGTAGTACTGTGTATGTATGATATGTGGTTATCCCGTCCCGTCCCTTCCCGCCGTCAAGTGGCGCTCGACCAAGCCCCCTAGACAACGCAAGATCCCTCATGCAACCGCCCGACACACCGATCTGGCTGGGGACCGCACCGGTAAGCCAGAAAGGCAGTTTGGCTCACCGGCCGGCTGCCTGCCTCTGCTTCTGCTTCTCCCGTTGCTGTTTTACTCTTCTGCCTGGCTGCTGCTTGCTGCTGGCTACCGTCTACCGTCCCGCTTTGTGGCGGCGCCGTGCAGCTTCAGCTCAAGCGGGGGGAGAAAGAAGGTTCCATTCGGCGAGGCTGTTAGTTGGGTATTTCCTGACCCTGCAGGTCGGCTTGGTAGGTCCGGCAGGCAAGGCGGTTGCCCGGCACCCTCTGGGCAAAAGAATAGAGACATGATCCCCAAATACCACCAACTCAATGCATTACAGCGCGGCCAAATCAAGCCCAAATTTGGTAAAACAAAGTGCAATATAGCACTTAACCATTACTCTTTTCATTTTGATAATCTCATTCGTTTCTTGTATTTGGTGCTTTATGTACGGCTTGTCGAGTTCTGGGGCATGTGTAAACGGGACTTGCAAGTGGATTCCCTTGTCTCTATTTTTTTGGCCAGAGGGTGCCCGGTCTCATGGTGTGTTCCATCCCTTACACCCGTATGCACCGCACAGTGGTGATATGGTTACCGTATGCGTAAAGTAGTAAGGGTTCGGCTGGGGGATATCATTTCATGAAAGCAGAAAGTGGCAAGATTCCATTTGCATTCCGTCTCCCCCTCCCCCTCCCCCCCTGACTGAGGGCATGTCTTTTTTGTTTCCCCATTCACCACCTGCATACCTGCCTGGCTGGGCGTATGCGTACACTTGTGTCCCGCATGCAGGCGCGGGTCCGCGGGTGGCGGCTGTGGTGCCGGATGCCCCTCTCCCTCGCCGGGGCAGTGTTGCGGTTGCGACGCTGCCCTGTCGCTTGGTCGTGCTGCGGAGAAAGCCGGACCAAAGATGGAAATAGTGAGGTGAGGTGACATTTACGCCGTTGGGAGGGATGGGCTGTGGGGCGTTTCTTTTTTTTTTCTATTTCTTTTCTTTTTGTTGCAATTTTATTTACAGATGTTGCTTGCTGTTGCTGCCGGCGGCGGTCCTTGTCTTGGATAACGCATTTCGATGGGCTGACCTTGGCTCGGGTGTTTGCCCCGATCTCGGCCGCTGTTGCGCGGGTACCGTTACCCTCTCAGCAGTCCTTTCAGTTCACCTGCCCGGTCTCGGCCCACCTCGGTCAAGTCTTTGCTCTCCGATTGCTGGCATCGAGGTGCACTCCATCACAGCGAATAATACATGGATTCCCTGTATCGTCATCCATACTGCCCCTCACGCTGAAACACCGTGACAGGCGTGTAATCCAGGGTTCGCCAGCGCCCTTTCATTTCGGCGTATAGTACGTGTAATTAACGGTGACACAACCGCGAAGGTCCTGACTCTTGGATAATGCCGAGACGTCAAGGTCAATCGGATGGCCGACGTCGATATTAACTCAACACCCCATCCCGACCCCCACCGCGTAGAGTGCTTGCTCCTCGAGCACGGCATAACATGTGGTTTGGAGGCAAAGCTGGGCCAGGAGGGTGCCCTGCATGTCGCCACAGGACCCTCACGGTTTTGGCATGACGATATCGGGTAGCGTTGGATCGATTTCCTCGACCACCCAGTTACACATTCCAAGAAGGCCGAGACCGGCCAGGCAAAAGACCCAGCCGGACCGCAAGGCGATCAAACCTTGAGCTGAGCGGTGCGGGTCACCTTGACGGCCCAGAGTGGATTTTGTTTGGACATTCTCCCTTGTCCGGCTTGTTCTAGATGATGACATGGAGGAGTCATCGTAACGAAAATAATTTTGTCGGTCTTGTGAGTGTCTGATGTTTCGCACCTCTTGGCCTTCGCTTGATGTTCCCCCAAAAGGGAACGGAGACTGGAGACATGAGAGACGTTTGCTTGGGCCGGAAACTTCCGTTGCTGGGCCAAATGTAAACTTCTCCCTTCCACCGGCTGGTTATCCGCGTTGTTTGGATAAGTCCCGAAATTGGAGGATCGCCAGCTCAACACAGCTTCAAGCTCCCTTGACTGTGAAGCTCAAGGCAGACACGTCTGGCTAATTTTTGACTCATCCTTCGAAACTTTTTCTCTCCCTTGCTGGGAAGTTGCAAGGAAAAAGGAGACCCCACCATGTTTTTTTGTGCAGGGTTTCCGGCGATCCCGCTGTGGGACCCGTTGAGAGCCCCCACAAATGGCATCATCGGCCGTGAAGGTGCGCGCATCATCCACGGCCTGGAGTCGCGAATCTGGTTGTCGGGGCATGAAGCAATATTAAACCGGACCAGTTATGAGCAGAAGCGTGAAAGTATGGGTATAATAGCCTTATTGATATCTTTTAAGTTTCGGTTAGGGCCTTGAATGGTTTTTCGGCAGAGTCTTTCATCTATCTCAGGGCCAATCAGCATCCAATTCCAGGGCGCCTTGTACTGTGGTACACAGCGGGCAGTTTCGAGAACCTGCTGTTAACTAACTAGGGACAGGGGCATTATGTAATCTCCGGCACGCAACTTCTGGGACCAAGATTTGGGAGGGTCCTTCCCGTGCCGCGCCGGGTGTCGGATATTTTGTGACCTCCGGCGTCAGATCCATTCAGCCCAGTCCAGCACTTCCAAAATATTCTGCGCCCCACTAACATCAGCTAACAGATTTCAGCCGAAACTGCAGCTTGGAAGCAATAGTGGACGTTTAATGCACAGTTTCCACCGCTTTCCACCACACCAAACGAGACCTTGCCCAAACGTTTGGGTCTCGGCCCAAAACCCACAACGAAACCAAGGAACCAAAGATCAATGACGATGCGGCCACGTTGTTGGCCAAGCGAGGCAACAAATTGATCAGAATTTTCATCGTGTCTCACAAGCATGTCCAAGCATGTCAATTGATGATGGAAGATTTCGCAACGGCGCGGGCATTGGCTGCCGCAGCGCCTCCTCAGACCCTGGTAACCAACCAAAGCCGCTGAGCAAACTCGGCAACAACTTTAGCAACTCAACAAACTTCAGGTCGCGATTCATCGTTCCATTATGGGGCAGTTCATGCCTGTGTCTGATGCTGGGCCGCGCCCGCCGCATGCGGGTGTTGTTTCCGCGTCCCTGATCGGCATGGATCTGAGATCCCATCGGTCATGGCCGACGTCGTTTTTCTGGAATTCTGGACAAAACTGCAACGGCCGATGAGACCTGAAGCTCCACCCCTGCGTGCGTTGTCTCCCAAAGCTCACCCCCGGTCGGTTGCTGTTAGTTATTCACGGCTGGTGGCTGGTCTGATGTTTGCTACGAAGTTTCGTTCTCATACCTTGTCACTTTGTGCACACAGCACACATCACATCCAGACGAGCAACTCCACCCGCCGGGGGTCCCTTGCTGACCGCATGGCATTGGTCCCCCGAAACCAGCCCGGTTCATGCTGGCCGACGTGTCAGCCACTCTGTCGCCCAGCCGCGCCGCCCAGTGTGGGTTCCCATTTGTTGCTCGCCGCCTGTGTGACAAGGCCTGGACGAGCTGCAAAGAAGCCCGAAGAACTCCACGGGCGGTTCCTGATGGGCAGCGGGGCCGCACCTTGTTGGTCGGCCGATCCGGGCGGACGTCTTGGTCGGCCATTCTCCGGGTCCCGTGGCTGGCTGGCGTCGGTGCGCCCTGCAGGCCACCGCACGCTCTCAGTGGTCTGGCCTGGTCTCCCCTCGGCATCCGTCCTGCGCGTACCACACGCCGGATTTGTGGGCGTACAACATGCGACGGCGGCGTTGCCTCGGGAGCCCGTCACGCTGTGAACGCTGCAGGCAGGCAGTAGATTCCGGACAACCTCTCTCCCAAGGTTTGCTCCCTGGCCGTCGGGCAACAGCGGGCTTTGCTTCTTCCCCCAAGGACGTTCCGTCGAACGATTGGTCCGTCCCGGGATGGGCACCCGATCATGCCTAATCACAGAGCATTCTCGCCTGAGGTGCCGAGCATCCCTCTCGGATCCCGTCCGCCCGACTCCATCCGGCGTCCGCTTCACGGACCCGGCAGGCCACAAGTGGGGCCCTCTCGTCCCACCAACCTCGTGCTCCCCTCCCGCGCCGTCTGAGACGCCCCCAATGGCCGGGTCTCGGGACGAATCAACGCCTTGTTGTTTGTGTCTCCAATGGGTGCCAATCCTTTCGGCGTCTGCATTCGGCCTCATCCAGGAACGGAGCGCAGACTGCCCGAATCGGAAGCTTCCGGCCCAACCAAGACCCAGACCCAAGACCAAGACGCAGTTTCGGGGCGTGGACCACCAGGCTCCGCGCAAGATTGCAGGAGACAAACAACAACGGCCAGTCCCTCTACCAGGATCCCGTACCCACCTATTCCTATCTATTCATTCAGCATGAAACAACAACCTTCCCACCAAACATCCCTTGCCTCCATCTACTTCCCGTCTTCCTATCAGCGTCAGCCCGGTGGGGTCCCCTCCCCCAAACCGCCCGTTGCATGTGCACTATTGCGTATGTGAGAGGGCATGTGTCGTCGACGTGGACACGCATTCCTCGAGTCCGCCGGCCGGGCCAGCCTGTCTTTTCCCTCAATCTATCTATCTGTATTGTCTGACGTGCTTCCTTACGCATTTTCAGGGGACAGCCTGGTAGGGCGAAACAGGAATGCCGAACCCTTTAATCTCAGCTCGACTTTCGCCCGCGCCCGCGCCCAATCCGGCCTTGTCCTGGCTGGCTTTTGCGATGCCTTGTTCCTGTCCTGTCCTGTCCTGTCCTGTCTGTCTGTCTGTGTGCCTGTGGCCAGCCGTTGTCTTTTCCCTCTCCATGTCAGACAGCGGGCGAGCGGGTGGGGTGGGATGGCGCGTTGTCTCACAAACGCAACGCATTCGAGTCCCTTGTGGGCGGGCGGGCCTGGCCCCGGAGTGGCTGGGCTTCTTCTTCTTTCTTTCGCTCTGGGGGTTCAATTCCAGAGGGGGGGGAGGGGGGGAGGGGGGGTGTTCGACAGGCATG